GTGTCATTAAAAAAATTGAAAAGGTACAACGCAACGCCACGAAAGTTCCTCATGCTTTGAAAAGACTACAAAACTCGATGTAAAATTAAAAGACTACAAAACTCGATGAAATTAACTACTCTTGAAGACAGACGGAAAAGAGGCGATCTTATTCAAAAATATAAACCTCTCAATAATTTAAACCTAATTGATTGCACGTAATGCCTGGCAGCATAGCACCCAGAGCTCAACATCGAATCAGATTTCATTGCGAGATTGTCAGGAACTGCGAAATCAGACATAAGTTTTTTGACAACCGTGTAGTCAATGACTGGAATGCTTTGCCAGATAAAGTCATCGAGGCAACATCACTTGATAAATTTAAACAACTACTAGACAGTTTTTAGTCATCATACTTACTGCAACTCATCATTTACCTTAAATGCCACTCAAAAGTGGCCGAAATACGAGTTGGGTATAGATGCGTACACTCAGCTGATGATGAGTTTAACAAGGCTGTGGCTTTGTGTAACTTAAATTAACTAACTAACTAGCTAATAGACCTCTCGAATAATTAATAAAACCTATAATTGGATTAAAAGATATCTTACCAACAGAAAATAAGATGTGCATAATGTCCAATCTGAAGTATTAAAAGTTTCATGCGGAGTCCCGAAAGGATCGATTTTTGGTCCACTCCTTTTTCTAATATATATAAATAACTTCTGTAATGCATCCTTAAAACTGAATTCAGTCATGTTTACAGATGACACGAATCTATTTCATACCAACAATGATATCAAAAAATTTATATGCGGACATGAATATAGAACTAGATAAAGTAAACAACTGGTTTAAGGCTGACCAACTCTCGCTTAATGCTGAGAAAACAAAGTATATACTGTTTTATAAAAAAAACACAAGAGGAAAATTTTCCCCTCAAGTTGTCTAACTTATTTCTAAATGATAAACTAATTAAAAAGCGATCCAGTATAAGATTCTTGAATCATTGTTGATGAAAAGTTATCCTGGCTTCCTCATACAATATACATCCAGTCAATAATCACCAAAATTAAAGGTTTAATGTATCAATTCCGCTCTTACGTCAATACACAGTCTTAAATTAATCTACTTTGGGCTAATTTATAACTTCATCAGCTATGCAAACATTTCGTGGGCAAATACTCAAATATTAAAGCTTTAAAAACTGTATAGTTTACAAAAACATGCTTGCAGAATCATTTGCTATAAGGATAGACCCTTAATGAAAGATATGAGAATGATGAATCTATTTGAAATAAATGTCTATCAGCATTTAATTTTCATGTATCGTTACAATTACAACATCTCTTCTATAATTTAATAACAATTAATAGCAATAATAACAGATTTAATAACAAGTTTGAATAAAAGAAAAAATAAAAACTATAATCTTAGAAAAAATATGTTAAACACATATAAACTGCCTCGAATAATAAATAAGAATTCAAAATATAACATCTCATATCTAGGTCCTAAAGTATGGAATACCTTTTAAAAAGGATTCAGAGGTACGGTAAATTTGTTAAGTTCCTTCAAGTTTTTAACAAAAAAATAAATTTTTAAAACTTGAATAACGTTTTTGGTTAATGCTACTACTCTACTTTTGCTTGTTGTCTAAGGTGGTAATCAAAAAAAGTTATTTTTTATTCATTAACCATTAATTTTCTCCAAACTAGGTACAGAATGATTTAAAAAAAATGTTTTTTCAAACTCCAAAAATATATTGATGATCACATAGAGGCCTAAATAGTCAAAATAACCCCTAAAAATAAAGTTTACTAGAAAAACAATTACCCATGAGTAAAAGTTCATTTTAATTTCAAACTTGGTATACTTGTGTGTGCTACCTGTATCTAGTGGGTGAGTTTTTTTATTAAAAAATCTTGTTTCTATAAAAAGTTATGCTTCAAAACAATTTTATTTTTAAAAAATCTGTTACTAGGCCTCTGATCTTAATTCCCTAACCACAACTTACAAATAATAAATTTATTTGAAAAAAACTCAGACACTAGCAGTACATTAGATAAAGCCCTAAAAATTTCAAGTAGTTATCATTATTAATTCAAAAGTTATATCGTTTTTTGTGAGACAATTTTCTTGAAAAACGATATGGCAGAAAATCAAAAAACAAGAAAAAGAATTTGTTTTTAAAAATAAAATCCTCCTTTTAAATAAGTTTCTCCTAACTCTTTATCTAAGTCTTTATCCAATAAACCCTTCCTGATGGCTTTTAGTTTTTTTCTTTTTGCTTTTGTCTTATCTGATGTTTTATTAAGTAAATTTTGGATGCTGCGTCGGTTCATTTTTTTAGATATAATATTAAAACAGACACCTGTCTGTATTCCAAGTTTTTCATTAACAAGTCCAATTTGACCTTTGTTGAACTAAAGAATAGCGCTATATACACCTAACTGTAGAATTGATCTTTCTACAATAACTTGCTTAGAACATTTCATCCAGATAATATTATTCAGGGACTCATTAGCATTTTATGTTTTCCCGTGGATGCACTTGAGAAGAAGGTCATCATTTGAAAGATCTTGGAAAATCTTTGACAAGATAGGAAACATCCACTCTGGTAAATTAATCCTCTCTCTTGTGTTTTTTAAGTTTATTTTTTTTATAACTACACCACGATACTTCTCCTGGTGGACAAAACATGTGGAGCTTATCTAAATTAGAAAAGTTGGTACAATGATGAAGGATAGCACCTATCCATTTTTTTATTGTGTAAATAGTTTCATCGTTAATGCAATTTAATTTTAAACTTCTTCGAATGGAAATACATTAATAATTTGTTATTGAATTAATTGAGTTGTTTGTCAATTTTCATTTTCCACCAAATGGTGTAGAGGTATTTTTATATACTTGTACTAGTGCCCTAAGTCGAGAACCTATTCGTTTGTTTACATGTCCAATACAATCAAGTTTAATAGGTGTAATACCAAACTGCTCTTCGTAGTGTTTGTAGTTAACTCCTACTTTGTAAGACGTTGTGTCTTCGTCTCCAAGATACTCATTATGAACTAGTTTATTTTGAATTACAGATTGCTGAAATATATCAATAGCACATGAGGATTCAATTGCTTCTGATGTCTGTCTACAATGTTTTGATAAAACAGTAACATCCAAGCACTTTCCTTTGATTACTGCTGTCACTACACCGTTCAACGAGGAGTGTCCTCTATTTTGCCAAGTTCCATCAATCGATACACGAAAAGAATGTATACCTTGGACAATTCCATTTTTACTTCATTTGCAGCGTTTTTCATACATTCTATTGCAGAATTTTTGTATGCAAAAAATAACTTATTATTAATATTTCTATATATATATTCATATACCGTGCAAATGTTTTAATCGATTCGTGTCCTTTACCGATTTCTCGAAATGCTATAAACAATTAAATATTAATTTCACTAGGCATACAAACATACATTTTTTTAAAAGCACTAAAAGGTGAAGTATATTTGTGACTTTTATTTTTAAATTTTCTACAAAAGTAAACAATCTTATTAGAAAATCCCTTTCTATCATCCAAATTAGTGGATATTTTTACATTGGCTTCCCCACATTCTTGACACTTGTTTCCTACTGCTTTAATTTCCATAAGTATTTAAAATTTATAAATAAAAAATAAGCATCTCTACTTCCAGAATGTTAAGCTTGTTTAATAGTAAATTTTTTTTTTGGTGATATCTTCAATATTTACATTTTTTTTATTTCCATTAATACCACATTTATTATTTATAATATATACAGATTTTCTACCCCGACCATAGTCTTGGTAGGTGGTAAGAACATGGTCGGTTTATTTCAAGGGTGTTGGTGGTACCACGACCATGGTCATAGTCGTGGTAGGAACATAATCGGTGGTACCACCAACACCCTTTCTTGATAACTTTCTTTTGTTATTTCGACGGTTTGCCAAATTAAATCTTTATTATTTTACAAGAATCTAACTAAAATATTAAATAGTTTTAACAAATACATTAGAAAACACTAAAAAATAAAATTTGTTATAAAAAAGCCTGCCTGCTGTTTGCATATTTAACAACTTGGACGTACAAGGCAACAATAATAGCAAAAGAGATATACTTCTTTAAGTTTTAAAGTACATTTAAGATAATAACTAAAAAAATAAAACGGTTGCTATGACCGTTGCTTGGCACTAAAATTATACCTGGAAAAAACTGTAAATATTGTAAAAAGCATAATCAAACTTAAAAAAAAAATTATACCACGAGAAAGAGCATTAAATTTTACATTAGAATATCTAATTTGCCAAAAAATTATTATTTTTTTTTACTTTATATTGACTTTTGATTATGTAGGAACAACCTTAACAATCTTATTAGTGAATTACGCATTTTATTACGATATTTATTACGATATTTAATTGAAATTTTATTACGTATGTATTTTACGAAATTTTATTACGTATTACATATTACGATCTTTTATTGAAATTTTATTAAAGGGACTCTATGACAAGATTGAGATGACGTACTATCATCCTCATCTTCTTTGAACCCCTATCTGTTTTACTTACTTTTTTTTATGAAGTACGAAGTTGTAAAATACTTGTTACATTAAAACAGAAAGCAACTTTTAAAATATCAGTAAAAGTACAGTGTTCAAAAGAAGATGATATTAAATGAAATAAGAGTTTTCTAATACATTCAATAACGTGTATTGCTACATTGCTAGTAAAGTCGTCATATCCGCACAACTTATTTATAAATATTATTATTGCAATTATTGTTACTTTTGTTGTTGTTATTGTTGTTGTAGTTGTTGTTGCCGACGTTGCTATTTTCTTTGTTATTATTGCTGTTATGGCTGTTGTTATTGTTTTTGTTGTTTTTTTTGTTTTTATTGCTTCTTTTTTTTATTGTTGTTGATGTTTTTTATCGATGTAGTTGATGACGTTATTGTTGTTATTATTGTTATTATAGTTACTATTATTTGTTTTATAGAACAACTAGAGGTTGGAATTATGCTAGGATATTCTGTGATGTCGTATTTTAATTGTGAAGTTGCTAACATAGGCGTACCGTTATTTGTACCTTCACCTAAATTATACGCTAACTACGAAAAACAATATCATCTAGTGGAAGAACGAAAACAAAGAATACAACATACGTCTTACGATGCTATGAGACAGAGTAACAGATCTTTAAACTATGGGTATTTATAGTTTAATCATTTGATAAGTAAAATTAAGTAGTAGATGAATGGTGATCCCCCCTAAGGAATGCATACGATCACCAATGACATTTAAGGGAACCCCAGACCTGCACTAACACCACTCGTTAGGGGATACTAATACATATTAAATGCATCAAGTCCCACTTAAAATTATTTATTTGGTACAGGTGCTTAATAATTGTGATACTTTAAAAAGATATGTAAGCTTACCAACAAAGATATTCTTAGGTGCTTCATACATGGGAGGGAACGTTTATTGTTTTTTGAAATGTTTCTATCCACCCTACGCTTATTAAGATCCTTTCCCCCCTGTTTATTAATTTTTAATTGTTATTACCAAAACAAAACAAAAATCTCAAAACTTAAAAAAAAAATCTCTTTTTTTCACATATGAAACTCTTTTATTCTTATTTTAGTCAAAAAAGTTACAAAAATTGTTAAGTCAAAAATATGTACATCGAAAAAGTTAAAAAAATGTTTTAAATTTTATATTTTAAAGATACAACCCTAATGACGACTTCAATGAAACCGCACTTCAACGTTGGCTAAGTTATTCCGACTATTACTACTACGGAGGTGTTGAACAGTTCGATAGTTATGAAGAGCTTTTCCGTAAAATTACGACTGTAAACTTAACCAATTTAAAACAAAAAGCTCATAAACACCGCATTGAGAATAATAAAATTGTAGTTGATCACTGGCAAGCAATAATGAAGTATTTTTATGGAGATTCTGATTATTATCATGAAAAACCTTATACACCCAGCACATTAAATGATGGATTAGAAATGTGGAGGAAATCTGTAAGCAGACCAAGCCTTACATCAACTGGTGAAAAAAACTTTGATGGGCTTCCCGTTATAACAATTATGCTTGAGGATTTAAATGAAGTTATTCCAGAATGTTTTAAATATAAAAATGAATTTATTATTGTGTTATTAACAAACAGAACTGAAACAATTAATGGATGCAAATTGATAAATTATGTAGCGCTTTTAGATGAATTAAATTGGTTTGACAATAAACATTTTCCAAAATCAATACAATGGGAAACAGTTGCCATGATAATGTACGCAATAACTTTACGCCCAAGTAGAATTATTACATTTACAAAGACACAGTGTATTTCTAACTACTGTTTTATATCGGATGAGTTTGATTTTCTCCAACTTAAAAGTACATGGAAAATGTCAGTATATGAGTCAACGCAGTTTTGGTACATGTTTGCACCTGAGGATTTCCAAATATTTGACAACTGGATAAAAACTCTGGCTTCTTATACAAGTGAACTGCATTCCGTGTCAAAATGCAGAACTTGTTTTCAAACTAATAAAATTATATTTTCCGAAGAAGAAATTGAGTACCTAAGTTCATATTTACATTATTGGAAAAGTGATGAAACGGAAAGTTTTTTTCACGTCATTGATCAGTTGAACTTTGAACTTGCGGTTCGTGGTTATCTTTCAAAACTGCACGCTAAACTCCACCGTTGGTTGTTGCAAAAACTTGTACAATTAGGATATAGTAAACTACCCCTTATAGTAAATTAATATAAAAACCTTATTTTAGTAAAACTAGCATCTAGTTTCTAATGATTTTTTTGTTTATTTCTTGTACAATTAGGATAAAATAAAATTATTTAGTAACTTTTTGAAATAAATCTCTTTTAGCAAACTAATATTTTTATTTAGTAAAACTGACACTTAGGTTCTAAAAATTTTGGTTTTGTATTTTAACGCTTGAAAGTATCTTTGTCGCTGCAAAAAAAGTTCATTTGTTAAAACCCTTTTCTTTTTAAAATTTTAACTCATTCTTTAAAAAGCAACCCAAATAACACATTGACATCGGCCTGTAGTCTTACTGAAACCTTTGATATCAGCATCAGACTAACAAGTTAAAGCAAAAAAAAAAACAAAAAAAACAAAAAAAAAAAGATTGGTATACTTTTACTATATCTTCCCAGTGGGCCCAAGAAGGTTTTGCGAATGTTTTCTAATGGTCCCGTAAAAACTTTTTTAAGTGGTTTTTTAAACGTCCATGTGAAACGGTGAGCGGACGTTTTTTAAAAACATTTTGTGAACGTTTAATGGACCTACAAAAAAGTTTTTTATTGGTTTTTTAACATCCATATGAAGCGGTGAACGGACGTTTTTCTGAGAACGTTATTTATTGGTTTTTATTACGTCTAAATGAAACGTTTTGTCGTTTTTAACATTTTTTTAAAACCTATTTTCTAAGTGCCAGTTATTAAAGTAAATATCTTATGTTGTACAGAAAAAAAACCTTTTCACAAATGGAAACTTAGGTCTAACAGTCTAAATCCGGATAATTAACTAAAAGTTTTAACATTTTGTGTAAATTTACATTTTAAGCAAAAACATAATAAAGTAGCTTTTTTTGCTCTTCTATTCTCTTCTATTAATCTCTTCAAACAATCGCCTTTCAACTTATCGACCAAATCGATATTTTCTGTATGTGAAAATAATGTTCCTAAAAAAGAAAAATACCATATTAATCTTTCATGCATTTCACTGGCATGTAAAAAAAATGCATCAAAATGTAAATTATAATAAGAAGAAATAAGTAGTAGAAAATATCACACAGCATATTAAAGAACCAATATAAAAATTTAAAAAGTAACTATAATTACTCTACTCAATAAGGTTTTTTTTAAATGATTTTTTTTATATGTATATATATACTATATATATATATATATATATATATATATATATATATATATATATATATATACAGTATTTGACAAAACATTTGCAACCAACATCAAACAATGCTAAAATGTATTTTAGCATTGTTGGCTGCAAATGTTACCTAATTTTACATGTCTTTAAAACGAAACGAACTATACCACCACAGCAAACAGTTCAGAAGTCTGGAGACATAGCATACCATGACATGAGCAACCTGTTTACAGGTGACAGCACACAGGCAGAATTTCTTTGACAAGGGCAATTTTGCAGCGGGCAAAACAAGTGCAACTTTTTTGGTTTGTTTCATTTTCTTAAGTCTCGTCCGTGTCAACGTCATGGAAGTGTCTTAATAATTAAAGGAAATATCTAGAAATTTCTAGAAGTTTCCAGAAGAATCCAGAAGCTTTCAGAAGTTTCCAGAAGAAGCATCTGGAAGCACCCAGAAGTATCCAGAAACATTGAGAAGCATCCAAGTGCAAAAATGGCTCCCGTCAGTCTTGGATTGGATCTAAAAAAAAAGATTATTGGTGATTACTTAAGTGGAATGTTTCAAAAAAGTATTTGTGATAAATATCGCGTGAAAATATGGACCGTATCAAGACTATATTCTAAATATCGTTCTACAGGGAAGTTGGCAGCAGATAACAAAGGTGGAAGACCGCGTTGCACCACTTCTAGAGAGGATTCTATGATTGTCAGATCCATCAAGAACGATCCCTGGACATCATCAGTCGAGATACAAAAGCAATTAGAGCTGCCTGTATCGGATAGAACAATCAGACGACGTGCTGTTGAAGCCGGATTGTTTTCTCGACGCCCTGCAAAGAAACCGCTGTTTCACTAAAGAACCAGAAGAAAAGACTCCTGTTTGCTACATCTCATATTGACTGAAATGTGCAGAAATGGCGAACTGTTCTGTTTAGTAATGAATCGAAGTTCAACATCATTGGGAGCGATGGCATTTGCCGTGTACGTCGACCGGCCGGAAAACGCTTCGATTTGCGTTACTGCCATAAGATCGTGAAGCATGGTGGAAGCAATGTAATGGTCTGGGGGTATGTTTCTGCTAAGGGTCTAGGTTCAATACATCGAATCGATGGAAAAATGGACTGCTTCATGTATAAAAATATCTTGAAAGATGTTATGTTACCTCATTCTGAATGGAATATGCCAATAAAAGGGGTTTTTAAGCAAGACAACGATCCGAAACACACTGCAAAAGTAGTCAGGCAGTGGTTTTAAGACAACCACTTATCAGTGATGGATTGGCCGCCCCAATCTCCGGATCTCAACCCTATCAAGAGCCTGTGGGAGATCTTCATCCGCAGAAATAATCGTGAAGGTGTTCGTAATAAGGATCATTTGTTTGAACAAATCCAAAAGGCCTGGGCAGCGATTCCACAAAGTTTCATCGATCACCTGATTGAATCTATGCCTCGAAGATGCAAGGCTTTGAT